CCCACACTGCATAACGCGCACTTGTAATATCAAGAGAGAGAGAGAGAGAGAGCATCCAGTTTTGTTGACATAAAACTGGACGCGCTGGCGCCACTCTCTCTCACTCATATAGTGAGGGAAATCCACCTGCGAACCGAGCAGAGAGGTTAGGCTACTCACGGACTCAGTATGCACTCTGCAATGATAACGTGACCGATGCCTACATTCCATGTTCCCTACATAGTGGGCCTCCGGGGAGCCATTGAAATGTAACACTTGGACCCCTTGCTTACTTTCAATTGTGACAGGCAGCCAAATATAGGCTACTGGAAAGAGCAACAAGGGGTTTTCTTTAGACAGAACTGATGGTGATCTCTTTGTAATGTTCTTGAAAAAGATTTTTTGGGTAACTATGGCTTGAAGTTGAATGTTTTAAAACCATTTGACCTTGTTTTTGTGTGTTTTTAAAGTAATTTCAGTAAACACTAGTCCCTTTTTTGTCCAAAAAATGTGAGTTAACAACAGTTTTGTCTACTTTAATTGTGTTCCTGTTTAGGGTTTGATAGCTGTTCCGGGGCAGTTTTTTAGTTCTCATCTCCATAAAAATAAGACGCCGTTGCATCTCTGATTTGTTGTTGGTCTACCATTATGCTCGTATTTCTTCTTCGCTGGGAATTACAATTTCCGTTCATCTGACCATCCGCAATCTGGGAAGCGCCACCACAAGAAGTCTGGAGGTACTGCCGCTCCAGTAAGCCAAAGTGGTAAACAGCCACAGTGTAGTTATGAATTGAGATCTTTTGCATGTTTAAAAAAATATTGATACTTGGTGCCAGAGAAATATCGCGATAAATCGGCACATCGATTTATTGTCCCACCCCTAGTGTATATTGTAGTATGTGGGTGCGTCGCAATCAGCTCCCTTGTTCAGTAGTCAGGGCACTGATCAGGGAGTCGGCCATTTTAAGGGCTGTCTCAATCGCGAAATCATTCCAATGGCTGCAATATAACAAAGAGTGAAAAATTGAAGGGGGTCTGAATACTTTCCGTACCCACTGTATATAGATATTAGGGGTGGGAATCACAGGGTACCTCACGATACGATATGAATCACGATACATGGCTCACGATACTATAATATCAGAAATATAGCGATTCTACGATAATCGATATATTGTTAGACAATCCTATAACGATACAGCACGATATCTGCCTAACTATGAAAACAAAATGCCTGTGAAAAGTTTAATTGCAAGTTTTCTCTCTTTATTCAAGTCTAAACTGATAGAAAACAGCACAAAAAGTTCTGTAAATCAAATTTAACCTACCATTATGCTCGTATTTCTTCTTCGCTGGGAATTACAATTTCCGTTCATCTGACCATCCGCAATCTGGGAAGCGCCACCACAAGAAGTCTGGAGGTACTGCCGCGCCGGTAAGCCAAAGTGGTAAACAGCCACAGTGTAGGTATGAATTTAGATCTTTTGTATGTTTAAGAACATATCGATACTTGGTGCCAGAGTATCAATAACGTCTCGCGGCTGGAAATATCGCGATAAATCGGCACATCGATTTATTGTCCCACCCCTATTCCTGTTCTAACAGTAGAGCATGCCACTCGCTACGCCAAGGTCATGGGATCGATTCCCAGGGAGTGATAAAAAAATGAATGCAATGCAAGTTGCTTTGGATAAAATCGCCTGCCAAATGCATAGTAGTATACAGTATTGTGTTGTAAATTGGATTGTGTTAACTAAGCATTGGCATTTGCATTGAATTAAATTGTGTTCAAACATTAGATCAATGAGAATGCTATGGGTTTGTTTCCCAGGGAATGCATGAGCTGATGAAACACATGCCTTGAATGCAATCTAAGTTGCTTTGGATAAAAGCGTCAGCCAAATGCTTAGTAGTAAATTCCATTGCATTCTCTAAGCATTGATGTTTGCATTGATTTGATTTGCATTGTGGTTCTGTAGCTTAAACAGTAGAATAATGCCAAGGTCATGGGTTTGACTCCCAGGAAATGCATTACTGATGAAACAGATGCCTTGAATGCAATTCAAGTCGCTTTAGATAAAAGCATCAGCCAAATGCACGGTAGTAAATTGCATTGTGTTCACAAAGCGTTGACATTTGCATTGACTTCCTGTTCCTGTAGCTCAAACAGTAGAGTAGGTGATAGGTTCGATTCCCAGGGAATGCATGAACTGATGAAATGCATACCTTGAATGCAGTGCAGGTAGCTTTTTTGGATAAAAGTTTCAGGCAAGTTCATAATAGTACAT